AACTGAGGATAACAAGTCAGCAAATGATTTTTTTCCCTCAGCCACTGCACCTTTGCCCCAGCTGCTCTGCAGCACTGGTATCCCTATAGGGCAAGGTCTGGCTTCCTCTGAGAGTCCTCAGAGTTAGTGAGGTGTCTTCCAAGATTAGACCTGGTGGGATGCTGTACTGTTGCTTAACCTTTGTGGGAGGTGTCCGTACACAGCTCCCAGGTGGCTCCCATGGCCAGGGAGGGGCTGTGGTGGCTCCAGGAGCGCAGGGGGCATGGCTTCAGCAGCAGGGTGGGGCACACAGTGAGTGGCTCTGGATGGGCAGGGCACAGGCACATGGCTCTGGCAGGGTAGGGTGGGCAGCAGTTGTCTCTGGCAGGGCAGAACACAGGGCGGGGGAGCTTGGGCAGCGCATGCGGCTGGCAAGCCTCCTCCCTCAGCTGGTTTACAGTTTCACAGAGCCAAGCCCAATAGCCTACACCCTTTGTCTGCACTACTGCTGGGCTCACTGGTTACAGTGCAGGTTTTCTACCAGGCCCTTGCAGTGCCCAGACCTGGCAAAGAACCACAGACATTCCAGTCCCTGCAGGGGTTAGGTTTCTGGACCGTCAGGCAAGGGAGAGAAGGGTGGACTGGAAGTTCAAAATGGCAGAGAAAATATTAGTTCCACCTTCATGCCTGAGAAGAGAGTGCTCAGGGTCACAGCAGGGTTCTTCTGGAGAAGTAGTACCTACTTCCTGCAGCTCCCTCCCATGGGGTAAGACAAGAGGTCCTCAGTTCACCACTTGCCTGTAGAAAACCTACAGAAAGCAGGAAAAAAACTGTCTTGGGGGAGGGGACGGACAGTTTTCCTTTAGGATGAGTTTTGTACCTGAAATTTGCTTCTTGGAGTCACAGCTTGCCTCAGCAGAGGCGACGTGCAGTTATCATTCTTCTCTTTTCTCTCAGCTCGGCTCCCAGTCTTCACTTTATTGGGTACTTTCTGGTCATAATCCTTCCCTCTGTCAAAAGCTGGCTCCAGTCAGCCATCTTGCCCCTCCTCTGATCACTTTTTCAATTTTGTTGAAAAAAAAAATTCAAGAGATTTGCAAACAAAAAACAAAATTTGCAAAAGGATTTCTTTCCCAGTCTTTAGAATACTATTCATTCCCTCCTTTTTCTGGGACTTACACCAGAAATTCTTTACCAATGTTCATCAAAAGACCAATGATACTTGGTTTTTGGTGTTTCTTAATTTTTTCCTCTTACTTACATTGACCTTGTTTGATATGTTCAGAAGTGATCAGGGATATTGAAAGATAGCAAATTCCAGTATCTTTTACCAATACACTTTTTATAAATATCCCTTTACTACATGTGTTAATCTTTTGATCGATACCTTACTTCACCCAATTTCTGGAAAATTTCTACCTAATATCATAACTAGTAAAGCCAGTTGTCACTGTTATTACCAATCAACCAAATCAGACTGGCTTTCAGGAAAAAAAAAAATGTCTTTTTTTCTAATTCAAATAAATGTGTCAATACACAGTTTGAGAAATTTATAAAATATCTTCAATAAGGAAATGTACGAGAGATTCAGAAATGATAAATAATGCAGAGTACATAAAGTGCAGATGAATACATCTCATAAAAATAGTCAGGAATGAAGTCAAATTAAGATGATATGATACAGATCTAATTTTTACATTAGAAAAATCTGTCTCCAGATAAGTACACTTAGAAATAATCACTATTAAATGTAAGTTTATAGCTTATGAAAGTAGCAAAATTTATGTATAAAATTCAGACTGTATAATTCTGAAAGTATTTAAAATGCCATCATTCTAGCATCAAAATATGTATAATTTTTGTTACGAAAGAAAATGTAAACATTTTATAAAATGGAGATTGATTAATTGAAATAAATATTTGAACTGTCTTATCAAATCTAGCTAAATGAAATCTATGAGAAATCACATCAAATATAAATTTCATTCATGGGTTTTATCTAGTTTAACTCAAAAATTGAGTTTGCATTGAAAAGACTCAATGGGAAATGACTTATTGCTTTAGCTATTCAGAAATTTCTATTGTTCCAGCTAATGACCTATGCTAGCAATGATGCTTGGGAATATTCTTTGCTTTGCTCTTATCAATCTCTTGAGCAACAAAATTTTTAATAATAATTAAGGGGTTGAACAGGTGAAGTCATTAAAGGAAAATTACCCTGACTCTCTCTTGCCATATAATATAGTTGACTTCACTTTCCCATCATTTTCAGTTGCCTTGACTTATGACTAATACAAGTCCATGGAAACAGGAGAGACTGGAAAACCTATAGTGGTTTAATGTTGTCTGCCTTGATCACTGAAGAGGCTTTGACCTAATAACTATTTTGGATTTTTCTCCATTTGTACCTAGGAATTTCTTACAAGGCAGTATACCATATTAATTTAATGGATGGATGGAGAAATATGTCTTTCTCTCTTTTTTTTTTTTAAGAAAGAACAAAGGATATTGTGAAACAGGGACAACAGGGAGTAGAACCTTCAGGGTGTGAAGAAGGGGTATCCTGGAAGCTGAGGATCTGGGAACTAACTTTTAAAACCAACAGTACAAGCTCCCCTCTTAATTACTTCTGGATCCAATAACCCCAGTTTGGTGACTACTGGCATGAACTAAATACAGTTATCAGTATATAACAGTTGCTAAATAATTGATAGCTATTGGCTATATTAAAAAGGAGGAAAAAATTATGGATCAACATTATTATTATGTCATTCGTTCTCAGATTTTAAACAGCAGCCACCCTGAGGAGTTCTTACTACTACTATGCAGGAGTTTTAGCAAGATTGTCTTACTCACTATTGAACAAAAAGATGCCCATACCGCACCATTTTAATTTAGCCCAATTTTGTTGTACTGAGAAGTGCTATTTTACAAATTTAGAACTGACAGTTCAGTCTTACATCTGTAAAAAGTCAGTCACAAAACACTCAGGAATGACATGAACACATTACCATTGCCACCAGCATGGGCTGGAGCCAGCGCAGGAGACAGGGAGACTGTAGTGCAACTGTGTGCTGTAAAGACTGACACCGCTCTGGCCGCTTCAGGCCAGTGCAGGAGACAGGGAGACTGTAG